GCAACTTTAGAAAGTCATATTGAAAAGATATGTTCACTGACAACACGTGTAACTAGATGCAAGAAGTGTGAAGATAAAACCCTTTGTGTTACTACTGTAGAAAATGAAAAGTAAAACACAACTGTGATACTGTTTTCCCCCTGGGGAAGAGAGTAAAAACCCTTTCTGGTTCTGCGGGCCATATTTTCCCACAAACCGCTTAAAGAAAAACATTTTTTTGCAAAAATCTTGCTGGTCTAATAAAAGATATCATCTCTACTACAAGTCCTGATTGCCTTTTATGTTACCGAAGCCTTGAAGAAAATTACAGTGTTTCAGCGCAGTAGAAAAATTCTCCGTCTGCAAAGGAAAATCAAGTATCACTTGGGTGTAGGTTGTAGCCATCTTAGTCTAAGGACATAGGCAGACATGGTTTTTTGGGTGAACCTGATATCTGAATCACACATTTTGCAAGTTTAGACTAACTTAAATAGTTAGAAAAAATAATTCTTTCAAAAAAGTATCACTTGGAACAGTCTCCCAGATTTAAACAATGTATTTTAGTGGGGGGGGTGGGGAAGATGGGTACACAACCTAGGGAATACTATAAAATGCTGAAAGGTAGCACAAGGCAATCCCCACGTAGGATGGCAAATCCATGTTTAACACATGGTGTATCGGGTGGTCACCGCTGGCCTTTTTAAAAAACCATACAGCTGGGAGACAGCGAGGGCCCCTTCGAATACAACAGAAATAACTGAATGCTTGCAAACGGAGTCATAGACTGGAAGGGACCTTGGAAGATCATCGAGGTCCAGCCCCTGCACTAGGCAGGAAAAGACAACTCCTGAGTTGTATCCATCGTAATTAAGCGAGGAGAGAAATAAAAGCCATGCACAGGCCGCCCCCTTCCTCGTGTGGGAAGGGCAGCGTGTGTCATGCCCTGAGCTGGGCCCTGTCAACAACAGCAGTAAACAGCAGCTGAGCTCTAATTCCCAGCTCTTGGCTCTTTCCTGGCCATGACGTCACAGGCCTAGCATATTCCTGGTGATATGATACCACTGCATGAGTGCTTGTCAGCTGCTGTTTCCTCCCTCTCCCCGCAGCAGCGGCAGGGGGCACAGCCCCGGGGGGGCTCCAGCTGCAGCTGCGGGGACCCTGCAGAGTCAACCGCTCCACTCCTCCACCGGCAGCGCCTGCGCAGGCGCACAGCCCGCGGGTGCTCCCCTCGAGCACTTCCGGTGGGCCGCGCCGTCTGATTCCGGGTCACCCGCTCCCTTCCTGTTATTCCGTGTGCGGGGCTGATTGTGGCGGCGCCCCCGGGCCTGGGGACGCGGCGGGG